GCCCGTTTTTCTCTATCCCACAGGGTGATGTTGGTGAGAAAGGCCCCGAGGGAGCCCCCGGGAAGGACGGTGGACGGGTAAGTGGATGCTGGTTGCAGGCTCCCTGGGGTTGGGATGGGGACGGATGCAGGGGACCTCATGCACTCAAGGGACAGAGGGGCAGCGTGTGAGCATGGTCTCTGCTCCTATCTCAGTTTTGTGGGCTGGGCAACTACAAGGACTTCCCTGTCAAAAGTGGGGGCCCCAGGGTGAGAGGGAGCTCTGGGGGCCACGCGAGGGTACACCAAGGTCCGTTGGGTGCAGCGTCTCCAGGATCCCTGTTGGACTCCGTGTCCCTGGCTGCCTCTCCCTGCCCCTCACTCCGCCTTCTCTCCCCCAGGGTCTGACTGGCCCCATTGGCCCCCCTGGCCCGGCTGGTGCCAACGGTGAGAAGGTGAGTCGTGGATCCCTTTCCTCGCTCTGCCTCACCTCCCCCATCGAATCTCCTTCTCATCTCCTGCCAAAGACTGCTCTCTCTTCCCCTCGCTCGATACCTGTCGGCCTCCTGCCTTGCAGCGGCTGCAAGGAGTGGAGGGTGGGGGCTCCTCTTAGAGGCAAAGTCACGGCCGTGTGCACCCCCGAGGACAGCAGTTGGATGGGGGTATGGGTGTCTTCAGCAAAGACCCCGAGTAGGTGCAGGTATGGCCAAAGCAACAGGGGGAGAACATGCCACGGGTCGGAGGGGAGACCAGAGCCCCCGTCCCCCCGTCAGGGCTCCCTGGATGCACTTTGCTCTGGAAGGGCCCCCTCTCACCCTACATCCCTCATCCTTGGCTTTTGTCCACCCCCCCACCACCCGCTGACCCACTTTAGGGAGAAGTTGGACCTCCTGGTCCTTCAGGAACTGCTGGTGCTCGCGGTGCCCCGGTGAGTATCTACCCCTGAGCCTGGCCCTGCAGGCCCCCCCGGGCACGGCTCCCACCCTGCCCTCTGGGCCTGGGGGTGGGAGGAGAGATGAGAAAGGAAGGGAGAAGGCACGTCCCTCCCCCATGATGTGATCAGGGTCCCCAGATCCTCTGACCGCGAGAGGCTTTCTGACCTGGGTCCCTTTATTTAGGACGGAGAGCTTCCCGACCTCCTTCTCTCTGAGGGTTACTGTGCAGTAGGCTAGGCTGGGCCAGAGCGGGCTCTGGGCTCACAGGAGGGAACAGAGCAGGCCGGCAGCTGAGCCTCACCCCTCCCGGCCCTCTTCTCTCACAGGGTGAACGTGGAGAGACTGGACCCCCCGGGCCCGCTGGATTTGCTGGTCCTCCTGTGAGTATCTCTGTCCACCCTCCCTCCCTCCCTCCCATGCCCTCCACTCTGGCCAGCTCGAGTCATTCCCAAAGGACACCTTCCCGGGGAGGGAAGGACAGGATTTAAAGAAGAGGGAAGTGGCTCCTCTGCGTCCACATCTCCACAGCGATGTGACAGTCCTACCCGAGACTCGGTGTCCAGGCCCAGGGTGGACGCACACACTCACACAGTCTCTGGCCCCTTTGGAGGAACCTCGAGTGTTTTGCCCGCACTCACTGGCCTCCTCCTTCCCGGAACAGGGTGCTGACGGCCAGCCCGGTGCCAAAGGCGAGCAAGGAGAGGCTGGCCAGAAAGGTGACGCCGGTGCCCCGGGTCCTCAGGGCCCCTCTGGAGCTCCCGGGCCTCAGGTGGGTAACACTGAGCTCCCCCTGGCAACCGATCCCACAGGGTAGGCGGTGCTGGGTGCCGGGATTGGGGCCTGGGCAGGCAGAGGCGGCTAGGAGGCCTGGGGATGCCCGCCTGTGTTTAGGGCCCTCCACCCAGCAGACTCCGGAGCCTGCTGCTGCAGCCACAGGAGGCGGAGGCTGCAGGGAGGAGGAATTTGTGCCCAGGGGTAAAGGTTCAAGGAGCCAAGCTGGCTTTCAGAGCCGTGGGTGTGGGTGTGGGTGTGGGTGTGTGGCTGGGGGCCGACACAGGGTACCAGCCGCTGGGTCTCCCTGAGCACAGAAGGCCTGGGGCAGAGCGGCCAGTCTCCTGGGAGACCTTGGACTGGCTCTGAGAACACCTGATGGGCCTGCCCTCCCCGAGGGCTCCTAGAACACGAGTCTCCTATGGGTCGGGGTGGCAGGCCCACCTGTGACAGCCTCTCCAGGCTGGGATTTTAGTGCTGACAAAGCTGCGTCTTTGAGAACCGAGCTCTCAGGAGTCCACGGTGCGGGCTCAGAAGGGACCCTCGCCCAGAAGCCCACAGCCCTCCCCCGGGGCGATGGGGCCTCACCGTCTCCCTCCTTCCTCCCCAGGGTCCTACTGGTGTGACTGGTCCTAAAGGAGCCCGAGGTGCTCAAGGCCCCCCGGTGAGTGAGGCCCCCATTCCCACCGTCACTGGGCCGGGTGGAGGGCACTGTAGGGGCAGTGGCTTCTCGCGCACCCACCCCCCAGGCCTCAGGAAGGAGGCCTGGCCTCAGAAACCCCACCCCGCCTCCTTCCCTCTCAGCCCGAGCCCCTCCCACACAGAGCCCATCCCACAGCCGGGTGGGAGAGAGGGCGCCCCTACAGCGCTGACTGCCCCAGCCTCATCCTCCCCCTGCAGGGGCTGGAGGCTGAGAAGCTGCAGCTGTCTGAGGCAGTGGCCAGACCTGGGGGCCCTTTCTCCCTCTCTAGCTCTCCCCTTGCTGCCGTGCGCCCCTCGCCCCTTTCCAAACCAGCCTATGAGACCCCCGCCCCCAAATTTGATTCTTGGGCCTCCTGAGGGTCTGAGGTACTCAGGGTCCTCCTCTCGTCACATAGGGAGCCACCGGATTCCCCGGAGCTGCAGGCCGCGTCGGACCGCCAGGTTCCAATGTAAGTGCTGCCCCCGGCTGTTTCCTCCCTAACTCCAGGCATGGGAGGCACAGGCAGGGATCGAAGAGTCTGGCCCAGTCCCCCACATGTCTTTGTGCCCATCCCCACTCCTGGGAACAGTAGTTAACTGACCACAGGGACCTGCCCTCCTTGTAGACAGCTGGGAGCAGGGCGGGGGGCCCTCTTGCTGGCCACGGTCTTCTGGCTCCGTGGGCAGGACAGGGCTGGTACAGTTGCTTTCATCGTGGACGCACACTTCTTGAGCACACTGTGCTTTGTAAGAGTGTCTGCATCTTGCTCCTGGGGAAAGTCCCCCAGCTCACCACCACCGCCAAGTGCAGAGGGAGTGGGCGCAGAGGCTTAGCGGCCAGGGGTGAGGCTGGAGCTGTTCCTTGAGGACCAGTGGTGGGACTGAGGCCACAGGGAAGGAGGCAGGAGGGAGTCCAGGTAGATCAGAAAAAGGAAAGTGTGCAGAGGCCGGAGAAGCCAGGCTGGCTTGAAGCCAGAGCTCACGGGGGAGAGAAGATGGAAGAGGTAGCCCAGGGTGGGGGTCAAGCTGCCCTTAGGGTGGAGGAAGCCCCCAGAGGGTCACCATGGCTTTGGCAGCCTGGAAGGATGGTGAAGGGTGAGATGAGTTCTCACGTCCTGCATTTGCTCCTTCTAGGGCAACCCTGGACCCCCCGGCCCCCCTGGTCCTTCTGGAAAAGATGGTCCCAAAGGTGCTCGAGGAGACAGCGGCCCCCCTGGCCGAGCTGGTGACCCTGGCCTCCAAGGTCCTTCCGGACCCCCTGGCGAGAAGGGAGAGCCTGGAGATGACGGTCCTTCTGTAAGTCCCACCCCAGGCTGGGGAGCCCAGGGCCAAGGTCCCTGGAGCAGAAGTGTGAAGGGCACGTGGGCTCACAGAGCCCAGAGTGGGGGAAGCACGACTGTGGGGCTGCCGGGGAGGGGCGGGCGCTGCAGAGAGAAGTGCCCTGACCCCTGCAGTGGGCAGCTGGCCACCTCACGGATGGGCGGGGGGCGGCTCCGTGTCACCTCTCAAGTTCTCACCTCCCTCCTCTCCTCCCTCAGGGTCCCGACGGTCCTCCAGGTCCCCAGGGTCTGGCTGGTCAGAGGGGCATCGTTGGTCTGCCGGGGCAGCGTGGTGAGCGAGGATTCCCCGGCCTGCCCGGCCCATCGGTGAGTGGGGATGCCCCTTCCTCCGGGCGAGCTGGGCCCAGCCTGGCTCAGGTGGAGGCTCTTCACCTGGTGCTCTCGGTGGCCTGGCCACCCCGAGGCTGCCACCACTCCATACCGTCTGAACTGACCCCCGGTCAGCGCTCTCCCCAGAAGGGCTCAGAGGGGCCTCAGAGCGCGCACTCCTTCTCCTTGTCGCTGTCCCCCAGGGTGAGCCTGGCAAGCAGGGAGCTCCTGGAGCATCTGGAGACCGAGGTCCCCCTGGCCCCGTGGGTCCTCCTGGCCTGACTGGTCCTGCGGGTGAACCTGGACGCGAGGTGTGCAGTGGGATCCACTGTGGGGTAACCCGTTCTAGGGAGAGGGGAGTCCTGGAGAAGGGGGTGACAGATGGGCCGAGCCCAAGCGCCCAGATGTGATGGGAGGGTGGTGATGGGAGAGAGAGGGCACGGAGACTAAGAGCTGGGCCCACGGCGGGTAGGCAGGAGGAAGCTGGTTGAGAAAGCCTTGGCTGGAGGGAGGGCACAAACCTGGGCTCCTGAGGGAGGATGGGAAGCAGAGGCAGGGATGGTGGGCAGCTCTGATGGCGTGTTTCCCTTTGCGCAGGGAAGCCCTGGTGCTGACGGCCCCCCTGGCAGAGACGGTGCAGCTGGAGTCAAGGTGAGTATCGGGGTCTCACTCAAGGCGAGTACGGTGGGGCGGGGAGGACATTCCATTGGCCTGGCAGGGCTGGGGTCAGAATCACATCTCTCCTTGCCTCTTCCGGAACGTTCCTCTCTGAGCCGGAGACCTCTCTCCTGACAGGGTGATCGTGGCGAGACCGGTCCCTTGGGTGCCCCCGGAGCCCCAGGGCCCCCTGGCTCTCCTGGCCCCGCCGGCCCAGTCGGCAAGCAGGGAGACCGAGGAGAAGCTGTGAGTATCTTCGAGTCAGTAAAAGCCACGGTGGAGGAGGGTGGCTGCGTGGGTAGGGAGCTTTCCACCACCCGCCCTCCCCCACCCCAGGCCCTGGGCGCGTCCCTGTCCTGTGCTCTGACGCTGCCCCCACTCTCCCCACAGGGCGCACAAGGCCCCATGGGACCCTCAGGACCAGCTGGAGCCCGGGGAATGCCAGTGAGTATCTGAGCGTCCTGTGCTGGGTCCCCGACAGGCAGGTCCAGGGGGCAGCAGGGACCTGGGGCTCCTTGGCTCGGGTGAGGCTGGCAGAGGCTGGCCTGAGCTGACCAAACCTGTGTCTTTGTGTCTTGTTCCCAGGGCCCTCAAGGCCCCCGAGGTGACAAAGGAGAAACGGGAGAGGCTGGCGAGAGGGGACTGAAGGGACACCGTGGCTTCACTGGTCTGCAGGGTCTGCCCGGCCCCCCTGTGAGTGCCGCAGGCTGCGCTTGGTTCCCCAAGGCGTCCCACTTCACAGAGCCCACTGGAGTTTCCCATGCTGCAAAGGCGACTGGGGATCATCCTGAGAAATGTGCTGGGCCTCCTCAGGGTTGGAGGGAGAAGCACATGGAAGGGGCGCAGGGGCGGGACGTGTATGCGCTCCCCCAACTCCCAGTATATATACGTATTCAAGAAGGCCTCCTGACGTGGAAGATGGGGCCCTGTCCGTGCTGACCTCTGACCTTTGCCTCTTCCTGCTGCACAGGGTCCCGCTGGAGACCAAGGGACTTCTGGTCCTGCCGGCCCTTCTGGTCCCAGAGTAAGTGAGACGGAGTGAACCCTTCCTCCGGGGTGGGACCAGAGTGCTGGTCAGGTGTTTGGTGAGGAGGGAGATGTGGCTGCTTCTGGGGAAGCCTCGGGCTCAGGCGCCTCACTGAGCAGCAGAAGTGGGACTGGCTTGGTGACACTGTGGCCAGAGAAGTACCTGAGGTCATAGGACGACCACGAGAGCAGCTCTCGGCTGTCAGACAGACTCCCTGGGAATAGGATTTTACAAAGAGGATTGTAGGGAGTGAGAGAGCCGTGAGGCCGTCCTGCCGGTTCTTGGCCACAGGGAGACCAGCGTGGGGTTCCATGACTGAGAAATGGGAAAACCTGGGAAGAGAGCAAGCTATGAGTGCTGCCAGGACGGCAGCCTCACCAGCCCCGGCTTCTCCGGGACCTTCCCTTCGTTGATGGCTCTCTTCTCACTGCCTTTCTCCCTCCCGGCCTGCAGGGTCCTCCTGGCCCTGTCGGTCCCTCTGGCAAAGATGGCGCTAATGGAATCCCCGGCCCCATTGGACCTCCTGGACCCCGTGGACGTTCAGGCGAAACTGGCCCTGCTGTGAGTGTCCTTCCTGCTGTCTGGGGTGTTCCCGGCACCGGGAGGCTTGAGCTCTCTGATGCGAAGGGCTTCTTTCGGGGCATCAGCCTGCAGCTAATGTGACAGCATCCTTTATCCTGGGAGCTCCCTGGAAGTTCAGAGTCCATGAGACATAGAAGAGAGGGGCTAATGAAAAAACAGGGAGGATTCTATGGTTTTCTTGGTCTTGGCCTGCTGCGCGCGCGCGCGCGCGCGCGCGCACACACACACACACACACACACGCACACACCCAACCTCATGGGACTGGGAAGAAGACATCCTAGTACATTTTAGCAGGTGGGGATGGACACAGGAGGGGCGTCTCCCTGTAATTCCTGGCTGATTTCTCTGTTTCCTGCTGCAGGGTCCTCCTGGAAATCCTGGACCCCCTGGCCCTCCAGGTCCCCCTGGCCCTGGCATTGACATGTCCGCCTTTGCTGGCCTAGGCCAGAGAGAGAAGGGCCCCGACCCCCTGCAGTACATGCGGGCCGATGAAGCAGCCGGCAACCTGAGACAGCACGACGCCGAGGTGGATGCCACACTCAAGTCCCTCAACAACCAGATCGAGAGCATCCGCAGCCCCGAGGGGTCCCGCAAGAACCCCGCTCGCACCTGCCGGGACCTGAAACTCTGCCACCCTGAGTGGAAGAGCGGTGAGCCCGGAGGGCAGGATCCCCGCCCCGGAAAATAGGAAGTCAGCCCGCTGGGCACGGCCCCCTTCAGAAGGAGGGGCAGAGTCGGGCCTGGAAGGTTCTGGCACTGGTGGTGGCTCCCCCATTTCACAGCAGAGAAACTGCAGCCCTGGTCCCGTCCTGCCATGGCCACATGGTGGAATTGACTTCAGGGTAGAGTTCCATCCACCGGGCAGGCCCTGCCCCTGTCCCTTTGCCTGCCCCCCTGTTTAGCCCTGGACCTTCCCATCCGGGTCTCCTCGCCCGGATCCCTCCCTCTCCCCTCCCTTTGGCCGCATGTGGCCCTCACACCCTGCTCCTCTGCTCCTGGTGTCCCCGTAGGCCTTTCTGTCACCCCAGGCAGGCCTGGCCCTCTCGGGAGCGTGTGTCTGTGCCTGTCTGAGCCCCGATGGGGTGTTGCCTCTCCGCTGCAGGAGATTACTGGATCGACCCGAACCAGGGCTGCACCCTGGACGCCATGAAGGTTTTCTGCAACATGGACACTGGCGAGACCTGCGTCTACCCCAGCCCAGCCAGCGTTCCCAAGAAGAACTGGTGGAACAGCAAGAGCAAGGACAAGAAACACATCTGGTTTGGAGAAACCATCAACGGTGGCTTCCACGTGAGTCCCCGCTTGCTCTAGGCCAGGGACGGTGCCTCAGAATCCCCCTCTGCTTTCTCCCCGGCAGTCTTTAGCGCCTTGCTCACATTCTCACTGGATGGGGGCGGCGGGAGAGTTAAGGGGAAGAAGGAAAGAGGAGGAGGGGGATGTTTTCCCACTTCGAGGTGGAGGAAGAGTCCTCGGAGGCTTGCTCCACTCCCCGGAAGCAAACGTGTCTTCCCAGTGACCCCTCCTCAGCCCCCTTCAGCTCCTGCGAACCCCGCTCGGAGGGCCCTGTCCCCCCGGGGCCTCACGCCATGGCTCTCTGCCCCTCCCAGTTCAGCTATGGAGATGACAACCTGGCTCCCAACACCGCCAACGTCCAGATGACCTTCCTGCGCCTGCTGTCCACCGAGGGCTCCCAGAACATCACCTACCACTGCAAGAACAGCATTGCCTACCTGGACGAAGCCGCTGGCAACCTCAAGAAGGCCCTGCTCATCCAGGGCTCCAACGACGTGGAGATCCGGGCCGAGGGCAACAGCAGGTTCACGTATACGGTTCTGAAGGATGGCTGCACGGTGAGTCAGGCCGGCTGGGCCGCCAGAGAGATGAGCCGCCCGGGGCCCCGGGCTACAGCAGGCAGAGGGCTGGTCCATAGCAGGCATCGTGGTCCTAAAGGGGCACGAGCGCCACGGGCTACGTGGGGACGACACGCAGAGCGACAGGTGAGGGAGAGGGGCCTGTTGTTCTGTCCCGTCCCCTCCCTTGGCTCAGCGTGTCCGGTGACTTGGAGTAACATTCATGCGATGTGTGTGGGCCTCTGCCCTCGCAGGCTGGGTCACTGTGGACAGTGGGGAGGAGAAGGGCAGGGGGAGCAGGCCCTGCTGCTGAGGACTGGAGTCGAGGCGGAGGCCAGTCCAAGAGAGGTCTAGGCCCCCCGCGTGTGTTCTGTACCTTGTGTTCAGTTTTGGGGTCCAGGGCAGCTGGCACCGGATCGTAAGGCATCCACCGACTCTCCTCTCTTTCTCCCCTAGAAACACACCGGTAAGTGGGGCAAGACTATGATTGAGTACCGGTCGCAGAAGACCTCACGCCTCCCCATCATTGACATTGCACCCATGGACATAGGAGGGCCCGAGCAGGAATTCGGTGTGGACATAGGGCCTGTCTGCTTCTTGTAAAAACCCGAACCCAGAAACAACACAATCCATTGCAAACCCAAAGGACCCAAGTACTTTCCAATCCCAGTCACTCTAGGACTCTGCACTGAATGGCTGACCTGACCTGACGTCCATTCATCCCACCCTCTCACAGTTTGGACTTTTCTCCCTTCTCTAAGAGACCTGAACTGGGCAGACTGCAAAATAAAATCTCGGTGTTCTATTTATTTATTGTCTTCCTGTAAGACCTTTGGGTCAAGGCAGAGGCAGGAAACTAACTGGTGTGAGTCAAACGCCCCCTGAGTGACTGCCCCCCAGCCCAGGCAAGAGAACCCCCCCTTCGGGTGCCGGGCGCAGGAACTGTGTGTGTCCTACACAATGGTGCTATTCTGTGTCAAACACCTCTGTATTTTTTAAAATGTCAATTGATATTAAAAACAAAAAAATTATTGGAAAGTACATATTGGCTTGTGCTTTGTTCTTTATTTTTCATTAGTCCTGGAGTCTGTGGGCAGGACAGAATCCTCTTTCGTAAACTTTGGCACCAAGTGGAACCCAGGGGTGAACTAGGAACAGAGACCAAGGTTTGGGAAGGAAGGCACACGAGAGGGGGCGGCCTTGTTCCTGAGCATAAGCCCAGACACACCTCCAGGCGGATTAGTGCAAGAGAAAAGATGCTCTCTGAACTCCGACGGGGAGGTGGGGCCTGAGTCGTGCCACTCGGGAGAGACCAGAGACGCCCCAAGGGGGGGGGTGCACGGTGCCGGGGGGAGGGCAGGGGAGGGAATCCACAGAGGCCCACGATAAGTGCACACAGTCAGACAATCTATTTATCTGTATCTTTCCCTCAGACTTCAGTTCAAGGAGAAGTGTTAGTGCTGAACACTCGCCCCACCCCTTATTCCTTTTTCCTGGCCCCCGTTCCTCACTTGCTGGGCTGGCACCTAAAGCTTCCATGGATGTCTTCTCAACACACGGAGGGACAGCCGGTCCCTTCTTGCCTTCCAAAGACTTGTGTTACGTGGGGCAAAAATGAGGAAGTGGTCACCTTTTCCACTAGAGGGGGCTAGTTCCTGACAAACTAAAAGAGTGAATCGCAAACATAAGAACACACAATTAGAAGAGCTATCTCATAATTTAAAATAAATAACCCTTCTATATACCAAGAGAGCTAGTGGGGGCAAGGGGGAGAGGTCTGCGGACGCTTATGGAAGCCTCTCAGACCACACACGGAGCTGCACAGCGGAGTCTGGTTCCAACCTGTCAGCCACACTCAGCGCCTATCCTGCTCCCTAGCTCACTTCACTGCCCACAGTGGTGTCAGAGCGACTTATTCCAAAGCAGCTCAACAGATCGTGAGCATCAGCTCAGTCCCTGCTAAGAGGAGTCCCATTTGCATCAGGATATAAAGCTGATCCCTCGTAGCCCACCCATTTCCCGGGTACCCAGTCAAACCTAGAAATAAGAGCAACTACTGCATTGGTAACTGATGAATGAACCAGAAGGGAAGAGAAGCAGCGGGACAGAAAGCCCTGCATCTGTGGTCAGATCAAAACGCACCACCCTGGGTGACAGTACTGCACTACAGTATTACTGCCCCCTTGTCCCGACCTGGGCCAGAGGCTCACCACTAATTCCCATGATCCCTGATGCCCCAGGAAAGGCAGAAGGTCTCTCGAGGCACAATAACCTCTCAGATAACGTTCTGACCCCGGCGGGACTGAGTGGACAGACCTGGCTTACTAGCTGTAGGCCTCAGTCAGGCTACTGTTCCTTTCTTGAGCTTCCTCGTCTCTACGAAAGTGTCCTGCCTCCAAGGGCTTTTGCTTTTTGCACTGAGTGGAACCCAGGAGTCTGACTCCAGTGAAGACTTGCTCAGGACCCTGGATACTGGGTAAATCACAGACCAACTTCTGAAATAGTTTCCCCTTCTAAGCAAGAGAAGAAACACAGAATGCACAGAATGAATCTCGAGGTGATGAAGAAGCTTACTTATAAAGGCAAAGAATAAGGATTATTTTGCCCAGAGAAATACTTAGGACCCCTTAGATTCATGTAGAGCTTTTACAAACAGGCTGATTCTTTTTTTTTTTTAATGTGGACCATTTTTAAAGTCTTTATTGAATTTGTTACAAAATTGCTTCTGTTTCGTTTTGGTTTTTTGGCCCTGAGGCATGTGGGATATTAGCTCCCTGACCAGGGATCGAACCCGTACCCCTTGCATTGGAAGGTGAAGTCTCAACCACTGGACCACCAGGGAAGTCCCCAGGCTGATTCTTTTAATAGTTTCACATCTGGGGCTAGAATCCCTAGAAGGACAGGTGACCCAGCGGTCTCAGGGATCCTGCTTTGGGGTAACTAGTGTTACAGAACAGACGGTGGAAGCATATTGTGGCCTATATGGGACCCAGTGAGTATCAGAGGCTTATCATGGCATATGAAACATCTACCTATGACTCTGGACAAAAACGCATAGAAAATGCAATCCTTAGCATATAGCAGGTGCTCAATAAATACTTTTTTGGAACGAGTAAATGAATAAATGGAGATTTCAACCAGGGGACATGGTGTAAGTACTTTGAGAGTTAAGAAAGAGGTCACAGCAGAGGCCAACCCAGAAGCTACAGAGAAAGATCTCTGGTGAAACTTCATCTCCAAGAAACACATTCCTGCACTCCAGTCAAGATGGTGGAGTAGAAGGATGTGGAACTCACCTCCTCCCACAAATACATCAAAAAATACAAATGGAAAAATTCTCACAGAATACCTACCCATCACTGGCAGGAGACCTCAAACACCTGAAAGGACAAGAAGGATCTCCACGTAACCGGGCAGGATGAAAGGAAAAAAAAAAAAAAAAAAAAAAGAGGAAGTGTGATGGGACCTGCTCTCCTGGGAAGGAACTGAAGGAGTGGCGAGGTTCCTGCACCCTGGGAAGCCGCCTCACTGGTGGGGAGATCAGCCAGGACAGAAAGGGAGCTCCAGAGGCTCAGAGGAAAGCAGTTGGTTTGTGGCAGGCAGAACAGAGAGAGACGTACACAGGTGGTCCATGCCACTTCTCTGTGCACCCCAGCATGAGATGCGCAGCTGCTGGTATGGGTGGGGGTTGGGTGCTGGAACGCGGGGTTTAGGGAACAGACCTGGGGAGAGGACTGCTGTTGGCTGCACGGAGACAGCCGGAAGGGGCTGGAGTGTGGTACAGCCGCAACTGGGGGTGTTTGCAGAAGCTCGAGCCTGCCATAGAAGTGAAGTGCCATTAAGTGGCGTACAAAGGGAGGGGTGGGGCCGCCATAGCAGCCTCTACAGGCTCTGGGAGCACGCACCCAAGCCACCACCTCAGTGGGCCGCTGCCTGGGTGGGCTCCCGCCTGGGCTGGGCTCCCACGCCCCAGCCACCAGCGGGTTGCCCACGTGCAGAGGAGGGGCTGAAATCACAGCTGAGCCCAGGGGCCACGCAACTTAGGAAGCAGGGCTGAAATCTCTCCCTGTGCGGCTGCCTCGCTCAACATCTAGTGCAGGCTCTGATCACCACAACGCCAGTCACACCTATCAAGGGGATAACGGCCAGCATACACTAAGGACAGATGTGACAGGCATCCATACTAAAAACAGCCCTCGCACCAAAAATATTAAACCTAAGCAGGTTACACAGGGATGTTCCCCCATATAAATAGCCCTCCAAGACCACAGTAGATAATTGTTTCTCCTAAACTCATAAAGCAACAGAAATATAAGTAAAATGAAGAAGCAGAGGAACCGCTCCCAGTTAAAAAATCAGAGAATTCCCCTGAAAGAACAAGTGAAACAGATCTCATCAGTCTAACAGACACAGAGTTCAAAAAGGAGATAATGAAAATACTGACGGAATTAAGAAGGGCTATTGACAGAAATGCAGATTACTGTAAAAAGGAATTAGAAACTATAAAAAAGGAACCAAGAAAAATTAGAGAACTCATTCGCCAAGAGGAAAGCTGAGCTAAAGGCAATGAATAGCAGAATGAATAATGCAGAGGAGCAAATAAGTGACCTGGAAGACAGAATAATGGAAAGCACCCAATCAGAGCAGCAGACAGAAAGCCAAATTTTAAAAAATGAAAGCAATATAAGAGACTTATGGGATAATATAAAGCATGTCAATCTATGCATAATAGGGGTCCCAGAAGGAGAAGAAAGAGAAAAGGGAATTGAAAACGTATTTGAAGAAACTATGGCTGAAAACTTCCCAAACCTAGAGAAGGAAACAGATAACCAGTTACAGGAAGCGCAGAGGATCCCAAACAAGATGAACCCAAACAGACTTACACCAAGACATACTATAATTAAAATGGCAAAAGTTAAAGAGAGGATTCTAAAGGCAGCAAGAGAAAAACAAAGAGTTAACTACAAGGTAACCCCCATAAGGCTGTCAGCTGATTTCTCTACTGAAACGTTGCAGGCCAGAAAGGAGTGGCAAGATATATTCAAAGTCCTGAAAGGGAAAAGTCTGCAACCTAGGATACTCTACCCAGCAAGATTATCATTTAGAATAGAAGAAGAGATAAAGACTTTCTCACACAGGCAAAAACTAAAAGAATACAGCAATACTAAACCTATCCTAAAGGAAATATTGAAAGGTCTTCTCTAAATAGAAAAGAAGAATCTACAGGGAAGAGAAAATCACAATTGGAAAGTAAATCACTTAAATAAGCCAGTACACAGATTTAAAGAAAGACAAAACAAAAAATTTCTGTGAAAGTGATGGTAACGACAATGAACAGCAAAAGGATGAACGTGAAGATGTAAAAGAGGACATCAAAATCATAAAATGTGGGGGAGGACAGTAAGAAAATGTAGATTTTTTTTCCTAGAGTGTGTTTAAGCCTGTATGACTACCAGTCTAAAGCAAGTAGATATAGGAAGGGGTTAATATACTTCAAAAACAGGGTATCCAAAAATCAAAAACATACAATAGATTCACAAAAACCAAAAAGAAGAGAACACAAGCATGTTACAAAAAAATCATCAAACCACAAAAGGAAAAACAAAAAAAGAAAGGGACAAAGAAGAAATATAAAATCAACGGGAAAACAAGGTTTAAAATGGCAATAAATAACATATCTATCAGTAATTACCTTAAATGTCAATGGACTAAATGCTCCAATCAAAAGACACAGAGTGGCAGACTGGATAAAAAGGAC